AGTGGTTCCAACATGACTTTCATTATGAAACAACACCCCCAAACCAAACCCCCACAATGAAAGAAATGTTAAAAATCATTTATATCATAATTATGTAGACTTAGGGATCGAAAGAGGTGGGCAAATTGCATGGGCTTCCTCGATCACCTGACGTATCCATTTTAGATTTTTTTATGCGGTAGGGTTAACGACAAGGTTTGCAAAAGGACTTATGAATTAAGTGAGGCACTCGAAGAGGCGGTACAGGAGAAGTTTAATTAAGTTGACCGGCCGTTCTGTGAGAATAACTATCTACAAATTCAGTTTTAAAAAGATGCATTTATGTACTCAAAACAATGGCGGATTTTTTGGGCATTTTCTAAAATAACTTAAAGTGTAGTGATATTATTTTTTTAAGTTTTAGTTTGTGTAATGTAAATTGTAAAGAGCCCTTTAATAATACATTTTGTCTTTTAATAAGTTATAAATCATAACAAAATAAGAACACCATGCCAACTAAGTGAAATTAGTAAAGAAATTAGTCAAGAAACAGAAAAATTGCCTATAACTCAGTAATTTTGTAAAAAAAACATAATATAGTTTATATCGCTGAAAAGCTTAAAAAATTGCGCCAAGTCATGGCCAACTATGGTTTCCATTTAAAAAAATATATGTTTGTGTCATATGTCAAAAATGACAGGCTTTAGAAAAAATCGGAGAACACAAACTCATTAGGGATGTGATTATCTACAACTTTTATCTGAAAACTTTTTGTCTAAAATAGGTTATAATGGAATCAGGGGCAATTTTTAGCCAAACCGACTTTCTATCTCCAGTAGTTTCCGAGATATCCATAGAGTCATAGAGTATAGGAAACTCAGCCTGTATATGAGGCAACAAATGCGTTTTTAAACATTTTAAAAGTGTAAAATCGCTTATATCTGGGGCTTACCCAACCGGTCTCACAATGCAAATTCACCTCAAATATCCATTTAGTTGGTCATTGGCAAGCACTCTCTCATTATACATGAAAATAACAAAACAAACATTTACTGATCTGGATAAAATTGATAGTTAAATAGTAAGACTCACCCGGGAGTACTCCGCCCCCTAGCCACTGACATTCTATTCAATATATCCCATTCCCTATCTTCCATCTAATTCAAATATTATTCGGATCTATTGATCTATTGGTTAATCAACAACTAGCTAGTGTCACCTGAAATAGTATAAGGGCTTCCTCCGGACGCAAATCTGCCGCTAAACAGATTCGCATCCCAATCGAATAGGCTAATTGGGGTACCTCAATACCCCAACGCCGCATCGTGTCAATCGAGAAGACAAGGGAGACCTCAAACTCTCAAGACCAACCTCGAAGGCAAGACGTCACAAAAGGTTTTCTTCTCATGGTCAAACGACCCGTTGCCTTACACTACATGCAACTTTTATAGTCAAAAGACTCGCAACCCCCAAATGTCAGCTCTATGACAAAACACAACACTACAGCCGGCCGGCTCGTCTACTACTGACCTGCCGCCGGCAAGCTAAGCCTCCTCTTACATCACAATTTTACCTAATCACAAATATTTACATCGCATGCCAATGAATCATACTATTTTCTCGACTTTCAAATAGAGTGTTTTAGCATTACTAGATAAATAAATAGAGAGTGTCCAAAGGCATGCATATTCTTTATTAGAATAGTGAATAAATAAAAGCATTATTATACGTAACAAACTTATTTTCCAAGTTTTACAAAAGCCTCTTTATAAAACATACGATTATATGAATTTATTTCATTTTCCAAGTATTCTGTACTCAAGTATATCCGTTCGACCTTTTCAACGCCAGACAAAAATCATAATCGTTTAGCTGGAAATTAACGAAGAACGCGGTTGGCGGCCGGGTCACGTGTCTTCCGTTCTTTAGCATCGCGCGCGTACAGTTGGCTGCAGAACCGCTTCTTTTTCCACGGCTCCTTGAATTAATTAGTACCGCTACACTTTAGTTAATTAGGTGTAAAGGCGATGAGTACACTCCGTTTATATGGCTTTTACTGGTCGTTCTGTTTCTTCAGAACGGTTACCTTTCATTGACGAAAAAAAAGAAGAGGAGTGGTCGATTTGTTTAAACAGACTCGGTCGAGTCGTAAACGTAAAAGAACCCTTAATTAATGCCTTAACATGACAAAAATATGTCCATATAAAGATGATATGTTCTCTCAAAAGTTGTTTTGTCTTTTGAATTTGATGTTGGCCGATAAAGGCCAAATTGGATTCGCTACTTTTTTTTATAAAAGTAGTTGGTCAGTTATACCGACAAAAGAGATCGTTATATGGGTTACCTGAATAATAAAAAAAGAAACAGATAGAACAAAAAAACAACAACGTATTAACAAATACACAGGGTTTCACACTAAAGCTGTAGTTTTTTTTTCATTTAATACAGTGCAACCTCTTTACGGTTGATTCTCACTATACCTTCCGTTTCCATTCCATATCCGTTCCGTATTTTTTTATTGTATTGACGCTATACGTAAGCTTCCATTCCGTATCAGTTCCATACTTTTTATTGTACAATTTATATCATTACGAATGTTTTATTTTAAAAAATTGTATCTTTTGAAAAAGGTAATAGATTTAATTAAGAGGTGAAAGACTAACTAAATATCAGCAAAATTTTAACAGGGCTAGTAGAAATGTAAGAACTTGACAACGCTGTTTCCGATACGCTTCAGTCCGTCCGCCAAAAAATGTATGAAAGGAAAGGATATGGAACGGAAAGGAAACGGAACGGATAGTGTGCATTGTCAAAGCTTATGGTTATTTATGTAATAATAATATCCAGGGTGGTCACAACTGGCATTCGGGAAACTTCAGCAGCATATTCTGCAGAAAAAAGTCCGTATTTTTTAATTTTCATTTTTATTTCGGGTTTTTCCAAATAATTTCTGAACTAAGGCTAATATTTCTTTGAACCTTCGTGTCTGGGTGTTTTTTGACACGAGTCACACGAGGTACGGGTATGACCTCTACAAGTAGGGGTCATACCCACATCGAAATCGAATTTCTCATGTCAAAAAACACCCAGACACACCCCAATTTTCATCCAAATATCGACCGGCGACCGGCGAAATAAAATCGAAACTTGCACATCCCGTATCTCCGAAACGAAGCATTTTAGAACATAAATTTCTAAGAACATTTTTACTTATTTTTATCTGCAGACAGAATATACTGCCGAAGTTTCCCGAATACAATTCGGACCACCCTGTATATTTTGATAGATATTTGTTACATAAGTACACTTAAACTTTTTTCTATAAATATATAACGACAAACTTTTTTCCATAAATATTTCGATAAATATAATCCTCGTAAAAATCAAAAGAAGCATCTATCTTCTATACAGAATCATCTATCTTTTATACTTACAGAAAGAACGCACACACACATCAGCATAACCATCTATCAAACATGGTTTTGGCAAAATTTACTTTGATTTTAGAATGTAAACTTTAAAAAAATAGTAATTCTTTGCTGTTTATGTTTTTCGTAATGCGCTTGTCATGTACTGGGATGCTCATAGCCCAAGTTATACAAATTTCAAAAGCTAATATTAGTTCTCCGTGTTTATTCATTCGCCAGTACGCCAGTGACAGTCAACTGACGAATATTGAACTCTCACCCCAAAAGTTTAGACATTATCTATTGGACTGTCCTTTAAACCTTTGCCAGTGTTGCCACCCTTGCAATGCAGGAAAATCTCCATTTTACGAGTTACGGTTTTTGAAATACTTTCACATTTTAACTTAAAGCGTTACGTTCAGCGTTATGTTGTCGTTTTAAAATTATCTTTCGATTTATTATGAAAGTAATGATTCACGAAACTGATGATAGTCAGGCATAGGCCATATGAGAGCTGGCTACATAAAAAACCTTATCATCGTTACATGGCTAATTTTTTGTGTGAAGCATCCTTTTGTGTAGCCATTGTGAAATAGTCATGTCTGCCAGCGCGATCCCGGGGCTTAAAGCGGGGGCAGCCAATCGAAAGGGTGAAATTTTGACACTAAAAATATTATAAGGTACATGAGTTATAATTGCCAAATAGCTTTTATTTATTATTAAGAAACGTGTAAAATTGTTGACAGACATTTTTCTCGTGGCTGAAATATCGGCAGAAAACGCGAAAGAGGCATAGAATTTTGACAAAAGAAAATCATCGCATACATGCATGTCGGTTGGTAGAATGTCATGTTTATTGTTAATTAATTTAGAAAGCCGTATGCAAAAGAGCAGACAAAAAAAATCGTTATTGAAATAATAAAAAAATATATTTATAATATAATCGTATATTATATGATTTATCCATACTTAAATGGATGAGGCGGCCAGCGTTCCCCGAATAAAGCGCTATAGAGTAATATCGCGCTTTTGATAACTGTCTGCAGCTGATTGAACGATCTTTTTGTCTGCCCTTTTGCATACGGCTTTTAAAATAAATAAATATGACATTTCACCAATCGGCATGCAAATATGCCATAATTTGTTTCATTCTTCAAATTTCATTTTTTAATAATTTTTAAAATTTCATGCCTCTTTCGCGTTGTCTGTCGGTATTTTAGCGAATAGAAAAATGTCTGCCAACAATTTTCCACGTTTCTTAATAATAAATAAAAGCTATTTTCGCAATTGTAACTCATGTATCTTATAATATTTTTAGTGTCAAAATTTCACCCTTTCGATTGGCCTTTAAGCCCCGGGATCGCGCTGGCAGACATGACTATTTCATAATGTCTACACAAAAGGATACTTCACACAAAAAATTAGCCATGTAAAGATGATAAGGTTTTTTATGTAGCCAGCTCTTAAGACTATATGTTATTTCTTTTAATTTATTTAGTCATTTTTCTTATCTTTTCTATCGATTCGTTATGTTATATACGCGCCATACTAATATAGTCCGATACATTAAATGAAACAAATGATTTAAAAGCTTCTTAGTTGAAAAGTACTTACTTTAAGTTGGGCTTGGCTTTGTTTATGATTACCTTGCATACTGGACAGTAACTGTTGTCTTGCAGAAACTGAATAATGCAACTTCGGCAAACTGAAAAGCACAAACAAAGCGGTACATTAATATACCAGTAACATAAGTCATATAGGTAATTCTATAAAATAAACTAGACTATTTTATAAAATAGATATATTATAATTTACACTCGCATCAACAAGTAGTTCGGTTTGATTATTGTCAATTTACTTTTAAAATATTTTACCTACTTTGCTTTAGAAAAAAAAATCAAATAGTATAAATATGCAATATTCAATATACAGTATGTCCCGGATTGTCTTTACAAGAGGAAAACTTTATCATTGATATTTTGAGAAAAATGCATTTTTCATTAAAAAATGCTTCTAAGACACACAATAGATCTATAACACACAATAGATCTATAAGGTCGCGGTGATTAACTCCCCTCCTAAACATTCTACATTCTACATGGTAAATCCCGTGTATATTTTTCGAAATTTCCTTACCGTTTTAGAGAAAATTAAAGAAAAAAACATAAAAATATAGCTGAATCTAAAAAAAAGTCCTAAAAATCGCGTTTCTCTGGTAATATAATTTCGTTTTCATCCGTTGATAGCTTATTATTGAAAGAATTTTAATTAACGTCGTATTTTTTTGCTGTTTTAAAATGTTAAAGCACAAAATTTATTTAGTTCAATGCTAGGGAAAAGGTGATAATAGTTTTCGGAAAACGTGATAAGTACTTTAACAACAAAAAATATGACTAATTAAAATTAATAATAACCATCTATCAAAGAATGAAATCGAAATGATATTGCCATACGCCTTTTGATTTTTAGGACTACGAAAAATTCAACTGTATTTACATGTTTTTTTTTAGTTTTCTCTAAAACGGTATGGAAATTTGGAAAAGTATAAACGGGATACCATTTTAAAACAAGCAAAAATTTTAATTAAGAATGCATTTTTCTCAAAATGTCAATAATAAAAAAGTTTTTTTCGTCTGTAAAGACAATCCGGGGACATACTGATATGATATACAGTATGTCCCCGGATTTTCTTTATAAAGTGCGAATTGGACTCGCCCACCGAAGGTTCTGTACAAATTTGTAGGTATTTAAATAGCATAGTATATTAGTATATCATATACAGGGTGTCGTAACTAAAAAAACATGTGCCATCTCTCGTCGGAAGATTCCTCACGTAAAAATAAGATTTATTTTTCATATCAACATAGGTTCGATTCTGCTTTGCTTCATAGCTTCATAGCCACAAGTCTTAATATTTTTTCGATTTATTATAATTTTCTTCCAAGTACTTTTAGCGTTTCGAATGAAGTTTTGAGAGTAAAAGTTACTATAAACGCGACATATTTTAAAGCTAAAAAAGTGTCGACATATTCATCAGGGACGTGCATATGGGTTATCACTGGAATATTTTTCTAAAAGAAGCATGTATACGCCACTGACTTTTTTCTCTTATTAGCGAAATGATGTAAGCAGTTTAATGCTGATTAAAAGTTGTCTCTTAATATTTTGTCGATTTCGACCTCCATGGTGAGATAAACGGAATTTTATTATTTTTTCTTGATCCAAGTCTAATAACAACCTTTAAAAAAATAATTAAAAACCTTTAAAAAAATTAATATCATTAACTTGCCAAAGCTTTAAATAAGTACTCATTTGTTTCTCATCAAAAAATATGAAAAAAAGTTGTTATAAACATGGGTATGGAAATGCATAGTTTCAGAGTAACAGGATGTTGTTTGTAATTATCTGAAATACCATTACTTTTTTATTTGAAATTGCTGTAGGTTGGACTAATAGTAATAATAACTAATAGTAATATTATTTAATAATAAATTAGGTAAAATCTCAAGGAGGGCGAATTCGACAAAATATCAAGAGATAAATTAAAATTTACATTAAACGGTCTACACAATTTTGATATCAAAAGAAAAAAGTCAATGGCGCACATGTCTTTTTTTGAAAAATTTTCCAGTGATAACCCTATATGCGCGTCCCCCTCAATTTATCAACACTTTTTTAGCATCAAAATATATAGCAGCTATAGTAACTTCAAAAAATCCTCAAAATTTCATTCGAATCACTAAAACCACTTGGAAGAAAATGATAATAAATCCCAGAAAAATATTAAGACTTTAACACCTTGTATATAGCAACGAAACAAAGCAGAATCGAACCTAAGTTGATATGAACAATTAATCTTATTTTTGCGTGAGAACACCCTGTATAAAAAACTGTAGGTATGTATATCCCCGGATTGTCTTTACAGACGGAAAAACTTTTTTATTATTGACATTTTCAGAAAAATACATTCTTCATTAAGATGTTTGCTAAAAAGTTTAATTCCGTATATATGATTTTCCAAATTTCCATACCGTTTTACAGAAATTCAAAAAGAAACAGAAAAATATATGGTTAAATTTTCCTAATAAGTCCTAAAAATCAAAAGGCTTATAGTATATGGTAATATAATTTCGATTTAATTCTTTGATAGATGGTTATAATTAACTTTGATTAACGTCATATTTTTTCGGTTCCTAAAGTACCACATTTTCCGATAGCTATTATCTGTCTCTCTCTCACCCGAGCTCTCACCCTTTTCCTTAGCAATAAACTAAATAAATTTTGTGCTTCTTTTCCATTCTAAAACAGCAAAAATATGACATTAATTAAAATTCTTTCAACAACAATCTATCAAAGAACGAAATCGAAATTATATTAAGTACCATAGCGTTTTGATTTTTAAGACGTCGAAATAAGCGTTTTTGTAGCATCAACTTTTTTTACGTCAACTTAGAAATTTGACTTCTTCTCAGCTTCAAGGGACTGTAGACTTTAATATATGGTTTCAGTTTCAACCCGATATCTCCACGCGTTCCCGAGATAAAGAGTCTTGACAGACAACAAAGTGATCCTATAATAAGGGTTCCGTTTTTTCCTTTTAAGGTACGGAACCCTAAAAATGAATCATTTAAAACTACATATCCATCCCGTCCTAAAAGGAGATAGATAATCCACCTTCTATTCGCAACAAAAAAGAATTGAACTCTCCACACTTCATGGAAGCGGAATATTTTAGCAACTTAAATCCCATCGAACGCGATACGCTTCCGCAAAAGCCATCCGAGTGTAAAATATCCGGCAACTTGGTGCCGTTATCGTAATTTACTTACAAGAATGTAAACATTCGGATATTGTGGTGGCATCGATGAGGTAACCTTTGCACAGATAGCACGTCAAGTACTGGTTTATCTCGACGAGCTTTATCTTTTCCTGTTTGCTGGCGGGGAGCTCCATGATCGAGATAAGTACCCCCACTGAAACAACAAAAAAGAAACTACATTAGTCAAGCCTGTAAAAATTTTATCAATAATAATAACAAATACAAAACATAATCATTTACAAAAATAGTCCAACATTTACAATATACAACAAAATAACCAACATTTACAATATACAGGGTCCGGCAACAGTGCGTCGGGCATCTGTAGCTCCTAGAATAAAAAACCTGAGAATTTTATTTAAGTGCAAACCTAAAGTATGTACCAGGATGTATTTTCGGAAAATATTTTAACTTCTATAGGGTGGCTCAAAAAAGTGTGAGTGGATCTAGATGAGTTTTTTTAAATGCAACACCCTGTATATTATTGCGGCTTCCTTTTAGATCACTTTACATAATCCTAAGATATGAGCAAATCTATTTCAATGGTTTCAGAGATATTAAGAAATAAATCAAAAATATATATTTTTCAACCCTAAAAAAAATATGAAAAATACAAGAATTGTTCTGAAATTAAAACTATATTAGATATTTACTTTAGATGGTCTATTCTTACTTTGCTATAAATATGGTAATCGTAAATCATACAGGATGTTCAATATTTTACGCCAAACTAACAAAAATATAAAATTATTTTACTTCGTTTTTTTAAATGGAACACCCTGTATATTATTTTTTTATTTGATAGAGAATTAAAAAATAAACATTTTTTGTATTTATAGTATTTCAAAATTTTTAATAGTTTTCCGGATACACGCAGTATCATTTCATATGGCGCTTTCAATGGCAAAATACGAGAGAAAAATCATTGGGTGGCTTTGATAAAAATTTACTGTGGAAAATGCCATATGAAATACAAAACTGAGAATATCTGCGAAACCGTTAAAAATTTTGAAATACTCTAAATGCAAAAAATGTTCATTTTATAATTCTCCATCTATTGAAAAAATAGTATACAGAGTGTTCCATTTAAAAAAACGAAGAAAAATTATTGTATATTTTAGAAAGTTTGGCGTAGAATTTTGAACATCCGGTATGATTTACGATTTCCATATTTATAGCAAAGTAAGTACAGACCATCTAAAGTAAATATCTTATACAGTTTTCATTTCAGGACAGTTCTTGTATTATTAATATTTTTTTAAGAAAAGCTAAAAAATATATAATTTTTATTCATTTATTAATATCTCTGAAATCATCGAAATATATTTACTCATATCTTAGGTTTATGTAAACTGACCTGAAAGGAAGCCAAAAATGCAATAATATACAGGGTGTTCCGTTTAAAAAAAATCATCCCGATCCACTCACACTTTTTTGAGCCACCCTATAGAAGTTAAAATATTTTCCTGAAATACATACTAGTACATACTTTACGTTTTCACTTAAACAAAATTCCCAAGTTTTTTATTCTAGGAGCTACAGATGCCCGACGCACTATTGCCGGACCCTGTAGACAATAACCAACATTTACAATATAGCTACAAGTCAGCCCACTAGAACAAAATATATTGAACATTTCAATACACGAACATCTTAAGGTGCTCATTTTCATTGATGTTCATTATTCAATATTTTTTAATATATAACTTTTATTTCTCCAGTTAAAACAACGAGATTTGGAGTGTTAGTATATGACATAAATTAGGATTGATTGACGTATTCAATTGTTTTCGGTCACATCCTGTTTCACCGGAAATGACTACTACTTTTGATTTTTAAACGGCACCTTCGGTGTTTTTTTACTTTTTTCGATAGGAAATGACACTCTGAATAGAATGACATATCATATGTCAACTTTTGACATTTTCGCCTAAGGTTTATTTGAAATACTAAATACCAAGTGTGTGGTATCAAATTATTCATAAGAAAATGCTTTTTCCAAATATATTAATAAGCCACCCACGTTCCAAACACTAAAACATTAGACGATCAAATTTATTTTTCCAAGACTCCTTGATTAAAAAATGTTTTTAACCCTTAAGTACTAACACCCCGTCTCACAGACACAAAGGACTAGCTGGACATATGACATCTCCTCTCCTCTCCACTTCTAATTATCAACAACACTGTAACAACTACAACTATGTACACTGTAACAACTACAACACTGTAACAACTACAACTATGTAATTTCAATACGCATCAAAATAAGTTAAAGGCCGGCAGGGCAATTTGCGAAAGTGTGTAGTTTTCGAAATATTTTAGTTCAAACTGTCGATGCCGTCTGACAGACGGAGTGTTAGCGTTAACGTAAGTTTTTTTTTTAAATTTGTGGAATGAATCAAGAACCTAGTAGCTCAAAACATGTAAAGTATGGCAAAAAAGATTACAAGGATACTCTTCTAAAGTGGTTTGAAGGGACTGGCAGCGATAATAGCAAAATAGTGACGAAGAATCCGAATGTGGGGAAAATTTTGCCATAGAGAGCGATCATAATTCTGAATTCGAATTAGAAGGTAAAAAAACGGGTTTTAACTAATATCTAATGGTATGTAGCTGTGTATGTTTTGATATAGATGATGAAAATATGGATGTGAACTATCAGTAAACTAATATCGAAGAAAGTGAAGAGAACAATTTGTTTGGATGCGCAAAAAAGTGTGTAGGGAACAAGCCCATCTTTAGGCATTGTCATTTTTTTATTCTTTATATTTTCTTTTGCTTTTTTGTGCCTAATAGATAGGTTTTTATATGCTAAATATAATAATCAATATATTTTTTCATTTTCCTTTCGCTTTTTTTCTATCTCGATGAGAAACAAAGATATGTCAAAAATCCAAAATTAGTACTTTTATTTCAAAAATATAAAACATGTTCGCATAATATACGCATTAGATATTTTTTTCCTGTAGTTTTAATGCTAATGATTCACTCCACTTACAAAAAATCTGTTAGACACGAACAAAATATGATTTTTTTAATGCGTCTCTCAGACGGTCTGTTAGTATAGGCGCGACTATTTCAATATGTTAGTACTTAAGGGTTAACATAATCAAGTCAGATTGAGATTTAAAATACGATATTTTATTAAGCGAGAATGTCAAAAGTTGACATATGATATGTTTTTCTATTCAGAATGTCATTTTCTATCGAATAAAGTAAAAATATACCGAGGGTGTCATTTAAAAATCAAAAGTTATAGTAATTTCCGGTGAAATAGCCCCCCACAGAATTGTAATCTCTCAAACCACTAAAGAAAATATCAACCAATGTTGTAATAGGCTTTCTGCATTAAATACTTTTTCAAAAATTTCGTTCTTTGGTATTTGCCTAACAGTGATGGGAAAGCAATTAAATATTTGTACAATAGAAGGCTGCGAAAAAAAAATGAATTAAGCGAGAATGTCAAAAGTTGACATACGATATGTTTTTCTATTCAGAATGTCATTTTCTATCGAATAAAGTAAAAAAATTCCGAGGGTGTCATTTAAAAATCAAAAGTTGTAGTAATTTCCGGTGAAATAGAATCAATCCTAATTTATGTCATAGACTAACATACCAAATCTTGTTTTTTATTTTAAAAAATAAAAAAGTTATAGGGTTGAGCCATATTTGAGACGCACCCGGTATAGGTACAGTATGTCCCCGGATTGTCTTTACAAGAGCAAAAAAACTTTTATTATTGACATTTTGAGAAAAATGCATTCTTTACAAAAATTTTTGCTTGTTCAAAAATTCTAATTAATGGTTAATTCTGTTTATACTTTTCCAAATTTCCATTCCGTTTTAGAGAAAATTAGGAAAAACATGAAAATGTAGTTAAGTCCTAAAAATCAAAACGCGTTTCTATGATAATATAATTTAGTCTTCATTCTTTCATACTCATACATACTTAGATAGTTATTGATATAATTTTAATTAACGTCATATTTTTTGCTGTTTTAAAATAGTAAAGAAGCACAATATTTATTCAGTTCGATGCTACGGAAGTGTGATAATAGTTATCGGAAAATGTAATACTTTAACAACAGCAAAAAATATGACATTAATCAAAATTAATAATAACCATCTATCAAAGAATGAAAACGAAATAATTTATCATAGAGCCTTTTGACTTTTAGAACTGAAAAAAATTGTATGTACCTACCCATGTTATAATTACTAGATTTTCACGTTTTTTTTAAATTTTCTCTAAAACGGTATGGAAATTTGGAAAAGTTTAAACCGGATTAAGCATTTTAAAACAAGCAAAAATTTTTATGAAGTATGCGTTTTTCTCAAAATGTCAATAATAAAAAAGTTGTTTTCCTCATGTAAACACAAACCGGGGACATTCTGTAGTTCTAAAAATTCAAAAAACTCTTAAAAAAAGAAAAAAATCGTTTCAATTAAAAACTATTAATTACCCAGTGAGCATTTTATTCCTTCAAGAAAAATGTGCTCTAGGTGACGTCGTTGTTACGTTACCAGGCCCATCTTTTGCCTAATATGAAGCAATAAAACGCAGATATGTAACTGTTCCCTAATGTTCCCCAAATGTGACAAAACTTTGCTCACTGGGTATAGAAAGTTTAATTCGCCTCTTCAACGCAGAAAAGCAAACAATCAAAACTGTGATACCGTTTTTTTTAATTGGAATTATTTTTATAACCTAATAACTTAGCTAACCAAACCGGTTCTGTAATAAACTGCATGCATGGCATGTCTGAAAACGTAAGTCCGGTTCATAAACAAAATATTTTGCATCTTAATTGATACCTATTTACCATACAAACTTCAAAAGCATATTAAACAACCGCCAGTGGCAGCTACAAGCTACAATAATTATTGCTGAATGTCAAGTAACAGGTTTCGGGTTTTGTACAAAAATGACTAAGATATCTGTCGGTACCACAGATAGGTACCACATTTATTTAATGCAATTTCAGCATCCCAATTCAATCAGTTCTAATCGACAGTAACAATAGAATGAAAACTTGACATAGTTGACGTGAACATGTGTGCAGGGTGTTCACGTATATTTAGTAAATAGATATTTAAATATTGCTTTTGAAAAAAAATAAAAATATGAATTTTTAGAGAGAGTTTTGTCGT